TATACATTCTTTAAAAAATCTTAATTGATGAATAGTGTAAAAGGAATGTGCAATTGTACTGTGCAGCATTAAATACCCTCATTTAGGTAGCGACCATTTAAGGGACCCACTAATGTAGAAACAGCAATAACGTTGTATTTGCAAGTGTGTAAGTGTGAAGGTAAATACATGAAAAATAAATAAAATACATTATGAAAAAATATATTAAAGTGTATGTATGTATGCATTATTCTAAAATAGTACAATAATATGCAATATTGTTATGAAATGTACACTATAAGGAAATAGGTAACATATCTTATGTAAATAGAATAATTCTTCATAATATAGTGTTTTATATGTTGTTACAACTTCCTCTTCCTTCTCCTACTACTACTATTACTACTACTACTCCTACTACTACTACTACTACTAAGTACTACTACTACTACTACTACGACTACTACTAGTACTACTACTAGTAGACTACTACTACTACTACTACTACTAAGTACTACTACTACTACTACTTCTACTAGTAGCCTACTACTACTACTACTAATACTACTACTACTACTACTACTACTACTACTACTACTACTACTACTACTACTACTACTACTACTAGTACTACTACTACTACTACTACTACTACTACTACTACAACCAACCAACCACTACTAGTAGGCTACTACCGCTAGTTTTAATACAATGATAACTTCATATATATCCATTACGGGCAGGTATTTTGTTGTAAAATGTTTATTTTAACGTTCAGAAATAAGGCCGGTAAATATGAACATCATCATCTTTTTATTTATTTACTTTAGCTTTATTTCCCTTTATTTACTTACCTATTTCATTTTACCTTTTCATCATTAATTTGTTTTAAATGATTTAGCTTTCTTTATTTTCACATTTCTGTATAATTTCCCTTTGCAACCCCTCCCCTAACTATGAAACCACATTTATTTATTGCAGATTAATCTTGCGTCCCCTGACTAACACGGTTATTACGGTAATTTGGAGCGTCGCAAATCAGTTGTTGCTGTCGCCTTGCGGCTTCTAGCTAGCACAAGCTAAACTGCGTACTTTGCATGATGTCGCTGAACATGAAGAGGCATATCAGTACGATTACTGAATAGTATCTTATTTTTTAAACTGTCCTGTAGACCTAAACAATTTGTCGTCTGTGCAGCACTGGCCATTATTTTCATAATGGTCCACCGAGCGTTAGCTATGAAGCTAATGTAGCAACATAACGTTAGATTCATTGTTAGCCGAGTGAGCTAACTGACCTGTAGATAAACTGTACACACTGACAGATAACATGGCAGAGTCGTTATCAGGGGTTAATGTTGTGCTGGTTATGGCATATGGAAGCCTGGTAAGTAAGTTTCAGTTTCAGTTGTTATCTGATAAGGGCTTTATGTGATTATGCTCGTGTTGAAACCCTTTCCTTTTACATTTGCAGGTGTTTGTGCTGCTGTTTATCTTTGTCAAAAGGCAAATCATGCGTTTCGCAATGAGATCCCGCCGAGGACCACATGCACCTATTGGCCACAATGCACCAAAGGTAAAGACGATCTCCTTTTTAAAGTCTATGTACCTCTTGTTTGCCTAGAGGGAGTGTATTTATGTTCACAGTTTCATATGATCCCCGGCTCAATATCCTATTAAAATACCACATTAACAATATTTTTAAATGGGTTTTATGTTCTCTATAATGCTTATAGAAGCTGATCAATAAAATCTACTCCCTCAGATTTGTGGACAGTTTTCTTGACTTAAAACATTGATATCTCCATAAATTCACAATGTAATTTCACCACCCAAGCTGCTATTGAAACATGTATGCATCTGCCTTTGTTCTTTAGCAATTTGCAACTGGTAAATAGCCCTTACCAATCACTTACACCCTTGAATATGCAGCAGCTGCTGTTGGTGTAAAAGTTAATGTGTGTATTTTTCTTTGTGAATTGATTCACAGGGTTTGAGGGAGCAGATTGACTCCAGGCTGTCCAAGGTCCAGGAGATCCGCTTCGAACCTCGTCTCTTAGAAGAAGAAGACGATAGGCTGAAGCAAGGATCACAGATCAGTCAGTCACTTTTTCATCTCTTCTTGTTTTCACCTGAAGCTATTTTTAAGTGTTAAGGACGTTCTTTCATGATGTAACTCAAATATGTTTGCATTTCCCAGGTTGCTTCAACTACCTGTACAGAATGAAAGCTCTGGATGCAATCCGTGACTCAGGTGATTCAATTTGATGTTAAAATATTTTTAATTCTGCAGGTGTATGTATATTTGCATTCGCTGGTAAAAGCTTTTCATTCATTATTCTCCAAGAATATCTTTTTTTTATAATTCTATTATTCTCCATTACTTACCTACTTACTAACCTAATCTTTTGTTTTTGCAGTGACCCACAATTCCCATGGGGAGTTTTCATTGCAGTTTCAACTTCTCTAACCTTCACTTCTTGTTCCTTTCTGTTTTGACCTCAGGAATTCCTCTGCAGGAGATAAGTCGCTGTCCCAGTGCGTTTACTGGACGCAACTTCCGAAGCTGGCTGATGGAGCTGCGTAACTCCCACTCTCTGATAAAGAGCAGCCGCAGCGCCCTCATTGACCGTTTACTTGAAGGCTACGACAGCGCTCGCCACGGGACTGGGGTCTGTACAAGTTGCAACATTTAATATAATTGGTTTAAGAGTTCCATTGTAGCATGTTACTGATTTGCCTTTGACTCTTTGTTTCAGGTATTTGGGGAAGCTGAATTTCTCGAATACCAGCAAGCTCTCAACGAACTGGCTGATGTGTAAGTGTTGCTGTACTGGTCCAGACTTGAAATTGTTAGTCTTGCAACATTGCTGGAGAAAGTTTCTCAATCTGCATTGCTCACACTGATAGGGTAGGGTGTGGTGAATGCTTTCAATTGTATTTGAAAGTTTAGAGCAAGTGATAATAAAAACTTTGTCTAGATTTAGATCATCCTTTTTTTTAAACAGCCAGTGTGGGGCAGAGTCTAGTTTAATTCATCAGCAAATGTAAATAAACTCAATGATCAGTTTAAAATATTCTAGTATATGAATGTTAGATGATCCCTCTATTTAAAAAAATAAGCTGCTAAGAAATCAATTGGGTTAGAGCAATTTGGCATTTCCTTAGAAAGACCTACTTGCACTAGTCTTGTGTTTCAGCGCATGACAGTCTATACCTTGGTTTTTACTACTATAGTTACTGCTGCTATTTCGTTTAAAATAACTAAATATTATTATGTGTACTATTATCATTTTTTCTCTGCCCCCCTCAGGGTGAAAGCCTATTCCAGCAGCACCAGTCTGGACCAGCATCACCAGTCTGCAGCCAAGGACCTGACGGGCTCTCCGGTCCGGAGCACCCCCTCCACCATCCAGGTCACCTACCTGCCCTCCACTGGCCAGCGCAGCAAGAGGCCCAAACACTTTCTGGAGCTCAAAAGTTTCAAGGACAACTACAACACCCTGGAGAGCACCCTGTGAGAGGCCGCTGTCTATAAATGTGTGCTGTGTGGAGCATGTGTGCACCAGGAAACTACCAACTGTAACACTAGCTTTATATGAGCTTTAAAATTCACCCACAAGTTGGATATACATTTTATCACAGTAAGTCACACAAGGTAGTTTTAAAGAATTACATAGAAAAAGAAATGTCCATTTTCAAAATCTTTGTGAGGCCCATATGTACACCGAGGGCCTTTTTCATATTTTGGACCTAATGAGCGTGTGCAGAGGACAAATGTGATTGTAGCCAACCTGGCAGGGTTCCCATTGTCATTTTTGTAAAAACAGCGAAGTTAATGGCCAGTTATCTGGATTCATTTTTATTTTTCTCAAATTGTAAATACGAGTGTACATTTTGACTTTCTGTGTTTGTACAGATGTAAGATATTTATTTAAGGACATTCATTTATTTAATTGACATTGTGTGATTTTTATTTATGTGAGGTTGTACACATTAGTGATTTGAGATAAAAGCCTTACAACCCATGTCTTCATTTTCATTGTCTTTATTATCTCCACTAGGTGGCAGTACAAGGTCAAGGAGTAAAGATGCAACACAGACGATACAAGTTAGGTGTGAAAAACTCAAAGAGTACATCAAATGAATCAGAGAAAAAAAGGATTTTCGTTAGGTTGAAACCATAGACTGTTCATATAAAGGTTGAAACAAATGATGACAGTCTACACTACAGCAACAGACAACTTCAGTGTTCACAGTAAATGGGACTTAATAAAAATGTACATACTGGATTGAAAGTATTTTACAGAAAAAGCATACAGACAATGTATTATTATGTAAGTCAGTTATCAGTTCAAGGTGGTTATTAAATATGCAAACGTTTAGCACAAGCAGGATATATAATAAGGATGTTGAGGCAGCACTTGGCAGCATAGATAAGAAATAAAAACTAGCCTCTAAAGTTAGCCGTATAATAAGTATTTTCCAGCATTAATAAAATAAAGGTTAACTTTATAATATATATAATATAGCATCACTCGTCTTACATTAATCCCACTCTTATGTCAGAGGAATACATTTAAGTTAAACACTAATCATACTTTAGCATTGAAATGGCTAACTGCCTGCCATTAGCAGTGTGGTGCAAAGCACTGAGGAATGTGACCCTGCAGCTCAGGGTCATGGCTAACAGGCTGTAGGTTGAAGAAGTGCTGACAATCTAATCTAATGTAATTTGTATAAGGTTTTCCAAATCAGTTTGTAACAGATAAATGTACAATATAAACAGATATTAATCTCAAACCATCCTTTTGAATTGACCTTTCAAGCAGTGTATATCTGCATTGGAGAAATAGAGTTGGAAAATAAACGTAACTTCACTCGTGCTGTATCATGTATGAAGTTCACAAAAGTTCTATGCAATGCACATCTTCTTTCTTGTTTCCTTTCAAGGATCCCTCCTATCATTGGATCCTAAGTTGAGTTCCCCATAACCTTCCTTCTTTAGATTCTGTTTGACACTTAGAGACTCAGTGAAGGTACGCAGAACAGCCTCAAAAGTAACTGAGGTTCTAAAAAGGACCAATGTGCTTCGTCACCATGAGGTCTGTTAAGCAAGCCTTTTTGAAAGACTCCAGATCTTTGTTTCATAAAAGGTGTGGTTAAATATACATTTACACTGTAATCATTCTTTTGGTTGACACCCCACTCAGGACATGATCTCGATGACTTTGATGAACGGGAGGGTCTTGTTGGTCGGTGACGTCGGTGTAAGTGTTTTACTGCACACAAAATAAATAAAAAAAGCTTGTTTACATGGACATTTAAATCTTCTCAGAAGACCAAATCTCACTGAGAATAAGTAGCAGCTCACCTGTAAACAACCTCTGGTTTGTTCTCAGTGGGCGTCAGAGGCTCCTGGCCTGCCAGGAAGTACTCCATGTGGTCATGCATTTGTCTGTTCTGCAGACAGAAAGGGGTTACAGTCAGTACATTGTGGGGAAAAAGGTGCAATTAAGGAGCGGCAGCATACATTTCTTACATGCAGGACCATTTCTCAGCTTTAATTTGATTGAAAAGGTGGAAAGGTCAACCACAAACACATACAGTACTATATAACTGCAAAATAAATGCAGTCCTAGTTAGAATAGTCTTATCTATATTTGTCATATACTTGTCCTCACATAGAGCTGTCCATTTATTTGGCAATATAAACTCAAATATCAAGTGGTCTTTTTTGATGGGTTGTCATTTGAATTTGCACTGCCCTAAGTCTGCCATGCTTGTGACCAGCCGACCACATGAATTCGTCAGACAAGAACGCCTTTCAGTGGAAAATACATAATATGTTCCTTCTGAAATGAAAAAAAGGGCTTTCACATTACTGTAATCTTGTTTATGTTTTTAGGATTTATAAGCTTGATTGCAGTCTCAAACTGTAAGTCAGTTAAAAGACTGCTTACATTTCTATCAGGTTAACTAGTAGTCTGTAACTTATTACAAATCAAAATGTACCTTCCCAACATTAAATAGCTAGTAGTGATTAATTCAGATTGTGATGCAGTTATCCTGACCTCAGCTTCCAGGAAAGCCACCTTCTCCTCCAGATCCCCGATGAAGCGATCTCTCTCTTGGATTACCGTCCGGGAGTTTTGCAGCTGTACCATAGACAAAACAAACAAACAAACAAACAAACAAACAAACAAACAAACAGTGTGAGTTATCAGGAGCAAGACAGCTCACTTTTCCAAAAGAGCAGATGCAGCATCACTTATTCATGACAAGCAAGTTTTGTTTCACCACACGTTTCCTCTTTGCTTCTCTCCCGCAAAAATCAATAACGCTTTATGTGTCCGCCTCCTCAAAATGTAATTTCCGCGTTAATGGCTTCCTGTGTACCAGAGAGCTCATTTGCATCGTGTGTGTCTGTGTGTGTGCACTTTGTACTGCTAGTAAATACCTGTTCGATCATATGGCGAACTTTCCTCTGCTGGCTCTTTAACATGTCGTCAAGGTGATGAATCTTCTCCTTCAGGACGGCCACCTCCGTCTCCAGCTGTTCACACCTGCAAACACACACACATATATGAGACCACTTTGTCACATTTGGTACACATAAAGTATACAATAAAACCATAGATTAAGAAAATGACTGAAATAGTATTTTTCTTTTGTTCGTTTTTTTACTAGTTGATGTATTTATGTTATTTGTAGGATTTTTATTTTGCACACTAGGAACATATTTCTAACAGATAAATCAATTTCACATCATATTTAAGGTTGTGATCTCTCATGCTAAATGATATTCACATATATTTTGCGGGACATACAAGAGTGAAATAAATAACATTATTGGGTAATATACACTGTGTTTTCTTATTTATTAGCTTCCTAACTGGCCCACATATTGTACTTGTGCTCATCTGTTCCTACTCTCACCTCTCCTCACTCTCCTCACTTTCCTCCCCGTCTGCTCTGAGCTGCAGCAGCTCTGCCTCCCCTGCAGCCATCTTGTCTCTGAGGACGCCGCTCTCGATCTCCATGTTTCCCAGCAGCCTCTGCAGCTCCTCCACCTGCTGACCCCTCTCCTCCGACTGCTCCTCCACCTTCTGCAGACGTGCAGACTGCTCCGCCACACGGACGCCACACTCCTCTGCCTCTGCCTGTGAGGGGAGCCACAGAGTAAGAAATAGCCTTGGCTTTCCTGTGATTAAGTAGTAATGGACACTCTGTCAAAGGCTCCACACATCCAAACTGTTTTCAATTACTCTGACTGATCAGATTACAGGAGTTTAGGGCTAGCTGACAGTAAAACCAGATTATCTGAACCACGTTATTTGGAGGGAAAACCAAAAAGTGCCCCTGAAAGGGATATAAATGCATAATCCCTATTGGCACTACAGTAAGTACAGTAATACAAGTCATATCAGGGAAATCTGTAACTGTAATGGATGAAGTTGGTTTGTTTTTAAATGTCTGGCTGCTTGTGTTTTTATTCTTTACAACTATTAGGAAAAACATATTAAGAAGATACGTTATTGTGTGTTCACATTGGAAAAGTGACATAATAAAGTATACTCAAGTATATGCAGTCTGTATGTATACTAAAAGCTCTGATCTTTGAGTTTGCTGTTGACATATACTCCCACAATGCAAAAAGAAAAGAAAAGAAGGTATTCGTAGCCTACATAAAGGAAAGAATTCAAAGTAAAAAACTATAACATTTTGTGGTTGTCTACATTTCTTCATTTTGTCTGAATCACAACTTTAACGTTTTTTCTGATTGAGTTAAATGACCCAAGACAAATGTACAATGCAGATTCTGTCTGCCTGATGTATCAGTGCAATATTGTTGGTGCCACTAACTCTAAAAGGGTATTAGTGCAGACCACAGGTACAGTCCTTGACAGATGAGCCTATGTTAAGTCTGTGGGCAGTGTGTCCCTGCTCGACCTGACAGATGAATGTGCTGTAGAGCAAAGACCCACACAGTGGGGGGGTCGGGGATGAGGGATGAAGTCCAGAGATAAGACTGGCAGATAATGAGGGTGATTAAATGAACAGGACAGCAGCAGAGGAGTGAGTCATAGCTGCAGACAGGAAATCGTGTCGTGTTACTAATCTTGTGAGACAGACCTGCATTCTCTCCTTCTCCTCCTGATGCCTCTTCTCCATCTCCTTCAGCTGCGAGTACAGACGCCGGGTCGCCTCCCTGAGCCGCACACTCTCCTCCTGATTATCCCCGACCTGAGAGCAGGCAGACACAAAGTGACACGCTCCATTAGGCTCAATGTGGCGGACTACTTGAACCTGAGGGCGAGTCTGCAGCTAACAAACAGATGAGAGAGGCGTCTGATAGGCAGTTTTCTACGCGTTTAACAGGTTGTTTGGCCGAGCCTGAGGTAGACAACGCATTTAGACAAGAAACTGGACGCAAGTTCAATTGTGTAGAGATAACTTCTTATCTCGGGACTGTACTAAATAGGTGGATTGGTTTTATCTGATACCACTTAGAATGGAGGGCAGTGTAAATTGATCCCAGGTTACCTACATCACTCACAGGTCACTGGGTGTGTACAGCCACAATAGGTCCCTGCCCCTGCTCTACTTTCCTTGTAGATAATGGTGTAGTGTTACAGGAGATGTGCTGACTCTAGAATAATGCATGAGAAATACAATATTGTGTTTCTGTGTGGGCTGTTAGTCAGAATGTAAGTGAGCAATGCGCTGTGTGGTGAGCTTTTTAATCAACTTCAGAGTCTGGCACTATTTTCTTGTGATAGATAGTGTGAGTGTGTGCTGGAGGAACAGACATTCTTCAATATGAATGTTCAGTAGGTTATTTAAATAGAGATTTGAATGCATTCAAACTAGTTTCGGCTGAAATTGGTTTCCGGCCATTCCTCATGGTTCATTCACATTAAACTGATGAATAGTCAGATCATAAAAGCCACAGCAAACATTAGTTATGGAGGGCTGAATTGTGATAAGCTCACCTGAGCTTCCGACTTAGGGAGAACAGTGTTGCCATTGGTGACAGCTGGCTGGCTGCCGGGCACATGGACTCTGAAGCCATTGGCTGGATACTGAAGATGAGATGAAGAGGGGGAGTTAGTGCTTTATTTCTCCTTTTACCCAAACCATTTACACATTGTAAAGGACCAAGAGATATCACTGCATTTCAATGTAAAGGGATAGTGCACCCAAAAATCTGGTATATATATATTTCTACTGTTTGGTACCCCTGACTCAGTGTAATTGTACCTAATTTATAATATACATGATAGGTTAATATATATATATGAAAATCATCTCTAGATAATTTGTTGCAGGCCTAACTGAGTTAACTTTACAGTACTACTTTGGAAAACAAAACATGAAACACAAACAAAAGACAGTATGTACACCTATTTTACATACATACACACCTATTGGTAAACAATATATAAATCCAATATCATATTTGCTGTCAATACATTTTCTTTTCATTGACTAAAAAGGATTTGTCTTGTGTCAACACTAGATTCAGAAAAACATCTTAATCCCGGATGCAGGGGGGTGTGCACCTTGTTGTTGTTTGTGTTTTGTCTGGCTGCCATCTGCTCTCTCAGAGTCTTCAGACAGTACCTCACCTAGAAACAACAAACACATGTGACTTATGCAGAAACTATGACAACCCCTCCCTTCTTCAACCCTCACACACTCTCTAATGTTGTTTTCTAGTGGTTAAACGTTGACTCATTGTCTAGACATGTTAGAAGAAGTGTTGCTCGGTTCACTGACCTCCTGAATCTGCGACACTTCGTCCGTCAGCATCTTGACGCTCTCTGCTGCCTCTGGACGGGCTTCCAGGTAAACCTAAATGACAGGATTGTGATAAATAACACAGGCGAGCGCACACATACTTCAGAAAAGCAGGAAAAGGGGGACTAGCTTGTACACAATTTAACAAACACTGAAAACAAGCTCACATACCGTAATGACTTCAACTTTCTCTTCTGTTGGAGTGATGAGTGTTTCTTCCTTCTCCTCTGCTTTCTGTGGAGGCCCTTCTGCGACGACGTTCTCCTACGTTCAGTGGAGAAATCAAAATGTTGTCCCAATCTTTGTTTTTGGTTCTTTCACTCAGCAAATGAAAAGAAAGCTGTTTCTTCTCTGTTTTTGTACCTTGTTGCTGTGACGCTCCGAGTTGCCGGTTGACTGATCCTGATCTTGTAAAGTGAGTCTAAGCCTCCTGCATCGGATCTGAAATGAAAGATGAGGGCATAAGATAAAGTAAATGGAGATGTTGAGACTGAGAGAAGCAACCAATGGAGAGGAGGGAGAGGGGATCAAAATGAAAGTCACCAGTGAGAAAGAGGGTGGAGCTGAGAAATAAATGCAACATTTTCGCCATAAAACTTCCCCATAGAGAAGATCCTGTAGATTCCACACTGTTAGACTACAAAGCCTAGCAACCAACCTAAAGGAGACTCTTCTATTGTGTCATGGGGCAGTCTTGTGGTCTGGAAAAAACAGGCCACTCTACTTGGGGGAGAAAATGAAACCATTCCAGTAACAGACAAAAATACCAACACTCAAAACCACCGTGACTGCTGAGTCACTCTCAATACAACACTGTCGCCATAACAACTTAACTTTAAAACGGAGTATTTTTGAAATAGTTTGTGCAACACCACTAGACAATTCTGGAAAAAACTGATGATTTCATTTGATCATATGCTGTTTCTGGTGGGGTGCCAGCTTCTCCTGTAATGCTCAATTCATGATTTATTATATTTTCTTGAAAACAGAGGGAAGTCTTTCAGAGGAAGTGCATGTTTATCACAACTATTAACTCAAAGCTCATCATAATCCACTGATATTGATTGATTTCATAGACATATTTCTATCTAAAGCTTGTAAGATCATCTACTAGAAATGACCTACAATAACAGAGCACATCACTTTTCAAATGATTAAACAAATGTTTATTATTTTTACACACTAATTTTTAACTGTAAGACAAAACATTGCAGGTATTCAGATACAAACATATAGTGAATACTTTTAACAATGGGATAGGAAGGTTAACAAAGGCCTTTGAGCTGAGAAATGTAGAGTTTGTAGCATATTTAAATAAAAACATTAGATGACAAGTAACATAAGTTAATATTCACATTCAATTCCCTTCATCTAAACTGGCTTTTTTTCCGACCAGATACGTTGAACATATCAGACTCCAACCTTTCCCCAATGCAAATACTTGCTTTGACTAAACACATAGTGCAGGTGTGGTTCAGCACACATCGTGTTGCTTTTCTCTGAAAGTGCAAAGAGAACAAACCATTTAGCCCTTGGATGGAGGATAACAGTCCAGGTACAGGCAAGTTATGTAACATAGTGGATTGTTATTTTAGCACCAACCTAAATTATGCTTAATCCTAGCCTCTAGGTGATGTTGGGTGTTGCTATGTAAGCTTCTATTGTGTGTACACGCTCATAAATATGTGTCTTTGATGTTTATATGAAACATATCTGTCTTGCACTGTGCCTCCACCCCTACAGTACATGAAAATACTAAATAAAAATGGGATAAAGACTGAATTGGCTTCAATTAAGCGTTGTCTGGGCGTCAGCTAACTGGTAAATAATAGCAATCAGAGAAAAAAAACCAGGTGTTGAATAGCCAAAAGCAACAAAAAAAAGAAGAAATCTCCCGTCGATTTTTGTACTGTAATTATCTTAATTTGTTTGTAAATGTTAGTCTCCTCCATTAACCTCAGAGAAACACCCAAGCAACCAACGATGACTTTTAAAGAGCTGAGACAATAGAATGATAACAAAATAAAAATACATGCTCAGGGAGATAAAAGACAGAGGTAGGGTTTGTTCTATAGATTATAGCTGTGGTGCAGTAAGGTGTATACAGCTAATGCTCCCCACACACTTACATTCCTTGCTCTATAATATCAACATGTTGACATGCAGTACATTGGCTGCTCACACAGCGTATCAATTTAGTAAAGTAACATGACACGTCTTCAATATCTCCCTGTGAGAATAACACCTGCGGTTACAGTGCAGGAGTGATAAAGAGACACTAACTTGTTCTTTGCATACCACAGTCGGTTGTGAAAAAAACGGGAGAGTTGCAATAATTACTTCACTATGGTATGCAATGATTTAATGAGACCACATGGGAACCTGACTGTGAGCATGAAGTCGGAACCAGAATAATACAGGTTGCATTTCTCATTTATTTTGTTGAACACTTGATGGCTAAGGGCTAGCACCAGACAACAAACTTGATTTATTCAATTGGATCCGGCTTCCAAGTACCAGCATGGCAAAAAAGGGGCAGAAAGATGACAAAATTGTTATCTTCTCTGTTAAACATAAAATGCTTTCTTACACCACGAGTCAACAACAACACATATACTGAAATAGAGTTTTACTGTGTGTGCGTGTGTGTGTTTGTCTTCTATGCGTCTGTTAGTGATACTGTACATCTAGACACATCATATCTCCTCAAACAGAGCCTTGCTGTGTGTATGATATTGGCCAAAGTGAAAAAAGTTAGCACAAATAGAAAGAATAAAAAAGGCCTTGGACTGTTTTGGGATTTTTGTGTGCCCCTGTGAAACAAAAACAAACTTGCGTGTGAACAGTTGGAAATAGTTTATGGTTTTAGACTGTGTGCGAACATGCTTACCATTAACATGTCGACACACACGGTTTAAGAAAAAGCAAATGGGGGGACCCAGCAAGTCACATGTGGCTAGAACATTTGGTTATTGTGTTGAAGTTCTCTGCTTTGCATGTCAGACACAGGATAAATGGTTTAGTTTGAACGTCAGATTTAATTGTAATGTATGAAAACCATCAGAGGCTGTGACGGGCCGACATTCATCCTGTGATCTGAGGGAGCGACAGCCTGAGGCTTCACACAGAGACACGCCCTGGGATGTTCTACTGTACTTTTGAACTCACTCAGTGGACACGTTCACATTTTAGGCATGTCGCTGACACTCATGCAGAGAGCTTCAACATAACTTAGAATAGGTTACTGATAATAATCTGATTGTTAAATTAAAGACAATTAAAGTATGCTTTATTAAATGTATCATGCTAATTAATCATGACAGCTGCTAAATCTTATGCCAAGTAAAGTTGTTTGGGTAAAAAGAGCAACAACAGTGAGTTTGAGACAGACAAAAGGAATATTGGAAACTATCTTATTAGATCATACTGTGGTGGAGTCTCGTGCATTATATCACCTCAAAATGCTTTGTTAATCATGAATCAACAGCACCATGACAACAGTAGGGTTACGGATGAAAGAGTTTGATTGGATACAAGTCTTACAAAAGGTGCTGACAATAAACATTCATTGCATACTTTTGCAGCACTGCCTGCCCAATGAACACACAAAACTGTTAGGTCAATGAAGATTATGAGGGTGTTTTCTAAAGTAAACAGGTTGGACTGATACAACGTCAAGTTCTGACGCTTTGTTCTTATACATACTTGCTCTTTGCTGCATAGTCACGTCCAAACATTACTGTTCATAATGTGATCAGCGCTTTCATCTGCTATGTGCCTTTACGGAGCGATAAATACTGTATCTGCTTCCATTGCTGAGTGCTTCTCCACTAGACCTGTCCATAAAGCTCAGGATATGCTTTACTTCAGTTTTAATGATCTTTATAGGAGGGTTAAGCGGCACATTTTCTGAGTGTCATGAAAACATTTACCGTAAACAAATGTAATCATACATCGATCTAATGAAAATGGCTTTGGAGATGATATCACTGCCAGTATTTAAGGTGTTCAGTGTTTCATTTCAGTTGATTGATTCTCTCTCTGAAGTATGCTCTTGAGTTTGATAAGATCAAGAGATACACATAATTAGATACTCCACGTCATGCATAACACTGTGCAGAACACATTCTACTGGTGGAAACCACGCAACATGTACTATAAAGAAACCTCTTGAACTTGTGTTCAGTAATGTATAAAGTAGAACTGTTAATCTGGTCGACTGCATTCTTTATGTTTACACCTAGCACTGCACATAATCAATACCCTTCCTGTAATCAATTACTTGGGAATAAAACCTGCATTTGATCAAAACAATGAACCAATTTGAATGAGTCGACAGTATGTTAACATTATTGTTCTGTACTGCCAGCAACCACCATGATCATTGTTTTCATAAAACAGTCAATATGGTGGTCCAAACAGCTCTGCCTTTAACAGGTCACTGCAAACCTCCTATCAAATGTATTTGAATTGATATGCTATATACTGGTGTATATCTATACAGAAAAACAATGCAGAGACAAAACATGAAGTGTTGAAAGAACCTTCTGGTAAATAATCTGACATTGGATCTTTTCAGTACTTTAGTGTAGCAGCAACGTCGAGCCCTGAGTGAGAGATCGATTACTGGCTTGTGTCTTGCTTTTATCACAGGAGATAGGGGGACAGAGAAGTGCCATAACATCTTTACATGTTTCAACTCGTTTGTGACTCCTATTAACTCGTTTTGTTAAAGTAAAATTAGGTTGTGAGGTTTACTTCTATATGAGACAAATACAAGAGGCAAATCCTCACGATTGAGCGGCAATAAGGAAATGTTTTCCATTTTGCTTGGGAGATTAATCATAAATGTTTCCAACTATCATCTGTTTATTGACTAATCAATGAATGCAACCTGTTTCAGCTCTAAAACTGAGGTGATTCGATGCACAATTTAAAGAAGGTGGTATCTGTGGCGACTGTGGCTCAGTGGGTAGTGTGCTGGACTTCGAATCATGGGGTAGCAAGTTCGAGTCCCACTGCATGTCGTTGTGTCCCTGGGCAAGACACTTCACCCCAAATTGCTCCTGTGGGGATTGTCCACAGTATTGAATGTATGTAAGTCGCTTTGGATAAAAGCGTCTAACAAATGACATGTAATGTAATGTAATGGTGTCTAAGCCATGCACACAAGAATGGTGTCTTTTCAAAGTAGAGAAGAGAAGACTTTAAAAGAGTAGAGCGTACTCAAGTATTGTCATCTCTGACATTAAGGTATTCAGGGGGGAAAATCTACACACATCATTTAAACTGCGTTAGATATGGAGCTAATATGAAAACAGCTGTTACACAGTGAGTCATGTTTACTGATTTGGAGGTGACATCACTGTTTTACCTCAGTGTCCGAAATACAAGAGCATCTTCATACCGTCAGTGACCTCCCACAATCAATACATTACCATCCAATCCCCGTCATCAAGCTACACACTCCCTCCAGGACTGATATTTACTGATTTCCAAATGATATCACTACAGTGATCACCGGACTGGAGACATAGCGATAAATCTGTGTCTATATATCATCCTAACAAGCCTAAAAGGTTGAAAAGTCACTTCTTGCACACCAGTGTCTAAATTCCTCTCCAAGCACCAACAGAGATCACAGCATGGTGTGACATTCATACATCACTGAGTGCAGTCAAAACAAAGCAGTTTTATTACCAAAGGACACACGCTATGAAGGATAAGGAAAGCCATGAAACACTTTCAACATGTTACGTTGTTAACATCAGCAAGCCCTGCTCAGGACCATCACACGTCACCCGTAAATCATGGACTCTTCCCTTGTGATTAATGCCAGCAGTATGTGGGGTATGTGAGTCATTTTCCACGCCAAGAGGAGTAACTGACATATGGGAAGCGACTCTACAAAGATTAAAAGTTGCTCAACGGACTCAACGGCAATTTTAGCATTCATGCTGTCAGTTTCAAATTAAAAATGTAATTGATGATCAACAAAGAAATCCAGATTGACCAAAAAAAAAACTAACAGTGTTGTTGTTGGAGCCTTGCCTGTCGTATGAGTTATGCTAATCAAGAGAACATTTGATTGAAATAAAATATTTGTACGAATGTTTGTACTTGTTTGGTTTAGTCTGTGCGTAACAAAGTATTTTAAGTATGATAAGTTAACAAAGAAGAGATACCAAAACATAAGAAAACACTTGAATAAAGTAGACAAATCTACAACTGCAGCTCCTATTATTCACTCCACACTGTACGAACACAAATGCAACCCTTCACTTTATCTCACACAGGATACTCTGATATCTACCTGGGCAGACGAGGCTGTGGGAACTCTCCCGCTGATGTTCAGGCAGCTGTGATCCGGACGCTCCGTGTCTTTCTGACTAAGTGTGTGGGAAGCCTCGGCTGTCTTGCCTTACATGGCTGGGTGAGGCTCCACCAGCTGCCCAACCCTTTTCTTTCCTCCAGATTGTTCTCCTGGCAGAGAGGAACAGTGCCAGTATGAGGAGGCGGACGGTTGTTAGCCTCCCCTGCAGGACTGCAATGCCAAATACACAATGGAAACAACTGGAGGGAACATTTCTCTGTTTGCATATAAACCATCCTGTATATTTATGCTTGTTGATGGGGAGTCTGAACCGAATAGCAATTTGAAAGCCATAATTGGAAATCTGACAAAACTGTTATTTTCACATTTGAATGGGATTGCTAAAGAAAAGGACAATGTGGAAAACTATTTAGAGGTCTTTAACCAGCAATTATTAAACAGTTTCAATCAATCCGAGTAAATTAGTGACTAGGTTAAATCTTACTTAAGTGTAACCTAATTTATAATATATAACCAACTTGGTACAGTATGTATGGATGGATAAACTGGTATGAAGAAGGCTTCATGTGTCTGCCACATGTTGACAGATAGCAGCACTCTGAGGAATGCCTAGTGCGAGTTATATAAGAGATTAATGATTAATGAGGTGTCTTTATATAACTGTCACCTATGCTGAGTGTGTGCAGTGTAAACAAAACTGTGCAAACAGAAGTCAGATGCCACAGTCCATATATGTTCTCGCTTGTGTTTTTGTCCATGTATCTCCAACTTTCATTACCATATCTGCAACTAAAATAACTTTTATATACATGCTTCAGGGTTTCTTTAAACTGATCTCTTTTTTTTGGATTGCAACCATTAGTTTTGGGACGGTTTTTAAATGCCATTTTCCTAATGTCTTTCATTTTTGTAAAGCACTTTGAAGTGCCTTGTGTTGAAAGGTGCTATATAAATAAGTGTGCCTTGCCTTGCCTTTCCTTGATCGAACAAAACTAGATGTCATGTAAGGAAATTGGTGGAAGTTATGGATATTTTTTCTAAAATGTTCTGATATTTTAAAGACAAAACCATTGACTTGTCATTGATACAAATATTGACACAATAAAACGATTTCACAGAGCTCCATAAGGTGCCTAAAAATGGTTTCTTTTGTCAGGGCAACAAAAACAAAACCAAACATTTATTAACAATTATTTTTGTTACATAATTACAATTAGTCATGAAAGAGTTTGGAACTATTATATGGTTGGCAATTTTACTGAAAGAATACTTAAACTTTAAACTGAAAAAAATGTTGTTGACAAAACGTTTCATTGTTGAATTATATCCTAAATGTGAATTTTGTTTGTTCATTTACACACAGAGCAGACTTGCATGTGTGTACTAAACACCATGTCATTTCAAGGTTCAAGGTTCAAGGGTTCAAGGTTCTTTATTGTCAATCTGACATAGCTACAGAGTAATTATGCAGTTGAAAATCTTATGTCACAGGCTTCTCCAACAATGCAACATAATAACATAACATAATAACAATAAGAGCAAGAGCAATACAAAAATAATAATAGTTATAAAAATGAAATAAAGTTATGATGTGGAATAGTGCAGTATGAGTCTATATACAAGTTATTGGAATGATATATATATATTAGGTATTAGATACATACTACTGAGTAGCAGTTGAATGTTTGAAGTTGTTTCAACAGTTCAATTGTTTAACAGTCTCACTGCCCGCGGGAAGAAACTGTCTCCGAATCTTCTTGTCCTTGCCAGGATGCTGCGGTAACGTCTGCCAGACGGCAACAGAAAGAATAGTTTGTGGCTGGGGTGATGGGGGTCTTTGATAATCCGTAGTGATTTATCACGCTATTTGACATTATTTATAGTTGCTTATTGTTATTACTTTTGTTGATATGTGAGCAGTGCAAACATGCCATTTAACAATGTACGTATCACACACAAAAGAGTGGCTTTTCAAGTAAACCAGAAAGCCCACAGCAATCCAGCTGAGCTATTTTAATAACAACCTTGCCTAGAACATTTTGCTCTTCCCAGCATGTTCTCACGCCATGACACAACACACACTAACTTCAATGGCATTTTCAAGATATATCCAAATGTGTGGGACAATAAACGTTGCCCTGTGGAAACTGGATTGCATAACTGTATGCAAAGGTTATGTTTACAGTGAGATTATGAGGTTCATTTAAAAAAAAAAGGTACCTCCGGGAGAGTGTCAATGCTTTGTAAAATAACCTGTGAATTCATAGTATCAACCTGATCAAGTGCATATGTACAGAGCCCTTAGTCACTCTTACAGTCAATAACTGATGAAAGAGTATCCCCTCCAAACCGTCAAGCCATCATTTTAATCATTGTTTTCATTTGTTTCAGCATTGTTAGAGCATGTCAAAGCTGAAAGCTAAAACAATTTGAAAATTGTTTATAAGTCTAGGCATGACCAAGTTGTTCTCCTCTTTCTGCCAGATTATTGCATACACAACGGATGTGTTGATTCATGCCACCATCCAGGCACACATAGAGTGTGAGGATAGGACATAGTACTTATCTGTTCAATGGTTTAGGCTCATGAGCAACTTAAACTATGATAAAAAAGGTGATATAATGTTTAACCTCTCATTTGACGATTATCATTTATGTCACTTACAATACAAGGGTCTAAAGAAAACACGTTTTAAATAAACAAAAAAGTATGTTTTGTGCACAATGGATCACATGTCAAAGTCAGATATGTAACTGAAGTAATATTGGTCACAGAAAAAAATAAAAATGGACAACCAAAGAATGAAAGAAATGTTCATTTATCTGCCAAACCAACAATCTAGGCACTTTGAGTTCTTTGGAGCTCATGGAGTGGAATCCTGTGGAAATTTGATTTGTTTCATATAAGCAGTAGGGCGTAGAGACTCAACTTGTTTCGACATATCATTTCATTCTTAGATCAAGTTTCAATAGACTATGCTGTGCAAGCACGATGTAGATAAACAGCCTAAAAAGAGCTCCACACTAGTTGTTCAAAGGCAAAAAGCATGTGACAGTTCCAGAGAAAGTACCATGTACACAATGACTCATACAGTCACTCAGTTGGAAAGGTTAATGGTTAGTAAAGTTCAACCAATAAAACATGTGTAAATCAGCAGTCCCATATCATATGCTATTTGACATAAATGAGTATTGTATTAAATGTAAATAAATGCAAGAGGTATTTGTTTTCGTACATTTAGTTAAAAGCTATTGAGTTCAGAAACCATTTGACCTTACTTTGATCTCTTTAGGTGGATATGAGATATATATATATAAAAAGTAATTAATATGCCTACTAAATTGTTGCCTGCTTAAGGCTTAAATTCAGTCACATTCAGTCATTATAAGACTAAATAACAGTGTAGAATATAACAGCAGAGTGACATGCATCCGGCTCTAGGCTTCTATCTTACAATAGAGTAAAGACGATGGTGGCTGTTTGACAAAACTGACAAATTCCCTTTGGGGCTAAATCCATGGGCAAAACACATTTGTGTAAATGCTTAATAACATGACATATATCACATGAGTGTATCATATCTGCATTCTAGCAATGGCGGAAACTAAAGTACTCAGATACCATACTTAATTAAAAGTACAAATACAACAGTGTAAACATACAAGTCCTGAGTTCTTAATGTTACTTAAGTAAAAGTACAGAAGCATATTGAGCCAAATGTACTCAAATATCAAAAGTAAAAGTACTCATTGTGCAGGATGGCTCTTTTAAAAGTGTTGTATTATTACATGTTAGAATATTATTCTGTTTTTATCATTAAAAAATCATGTATGTTATTTGAATGTTGTTATTCATCAATATGGGGCACATTTTAGATTGACTTTAGACTGAGAAAATGTGTAGTGATTATATTTCAAGTAAACAGAAAATGTCAATCAAGTAAAAAGTTACGAATAAATGTAGTGCAGTAAATGTACAATATTTCCCTCTGAGAAGAGGTGGTTTGGAAATACAAGGTATAGCAGAAAAATGGAAATACCCCAACATTATACTTGGATAGGCCTTCAGTAGGCTACATCCCAACACTGCATTACAGACTGTATATGAAGCTCATATTTGCTTACCTTTCATGTAATCACATTTCAAACATCTCAGAAAGCACCTTTTTCATTTTTAAATGAGCATTTTTACTTTAATATAGAAACTGAACATGAGCTTAAAGTAAAACAGGTAAGTCCAAATACCTCCTTAACAGTTAAAGTGGGCTAACCTCATCTATCACAGCTGTTCGTAATAAAGTTAACTTTAGTCCAGTAGGACCGCAGGAAATAAAAACTGGGATAAAGTCACTGTAAATGTATTATTAAGAACTATGTTCACGTTATAGTTATATTAAATGTGTTTTACTATGTGTCTCTTTATCTAAACAGTTGTATTATTCACTCACGTTATCTTTGGTGTCCTCTTCTCCATTGTCCTCAGTCCTCGTCACGCCGCTCATCTTTTCGTTGCAAAGTGAAAACAACGCATGCAATTGAATAAGAAATGATGGCAGCTGAACGTTTCTTTTAGCGTTAAAAACGTTACATGTTGTGCTCCTCGCAGACAAAGTTATGATATACTTTATCAAAGAGTGAGGAGACACCCGGAGCAGCTCCTGCTGCGTTCACTGCAACTCTTTCCAGGCAGTAAATCTGAGTCCTGCAGGTGTTCAACATGCCTGCACCCCGTGCAACAGGAATGTTCTGAATCATAAATCAGGATGTAGGAAGCATAAGTCATTGTGCATGTTTTGTAATTTACAAAAGTATTGTATTTTTCTATATTTTTTGTCATGCTAAATTGTGTTGTTTTTATAGGGATAGTATTTGGTTTGTATACATGCCATTTACACACAACAGGCACAATTAGACTATACTGCATCTTAAGGCTGTAACTTTCAATTTACATGTAATAATGCTTTTTTGTTGCTCATATTTTCTTCTTCGTCTGTGTATCTAATTACTATGTTCCCCTATGAAGAATCACATATGATGTTATATTTTCTTATCTTATCTAAACTGATCTCTCTTTATGCTGTTATTGTATTACTTAATTTGACACCTCAGTTCCTATGAACCAACTTTTTTTTCTAAATCAAAATCAAATGTTACATAATTGAAACTGACTGGTAATCTATAATAACCATAATTAACCTAATCTTATTTATAACAGGGATAAATAGGGATGATATTGAATAATTTACTCGAGACATAAACTGACCTCAGAGAAGTTGATGACACCTCCATTCGGCAGACATTTGGTGTGAGTGCGGTGGAAAAACATTTTGTCCTCAGTCACCTGCCTCAGCTTCTTCCAGATGGATCCCATGTGCGGCCTCTCCTCATCTGTCTTCTTTCAACTTATTTTGTTCAACCTCTTCCCAATTTTTCAGCAATATCTGTGCCAGTGCAGCACCTACGGTAACTGTGATCTGCTTCTCATGCTCTGCAGCTACTTCTGTGTCAGACCTGCAAATAGGATGAATCCTGTTTAATAACAATCCTGTCACATGTCAGGTGGCTCTGTTGCCACTTACACTTACTAAGTCTACGTTTAGGCCGTTGGCTAAACTCATTTACCTTTGGCCGTATGGCTTGAAAGTTTTTGTGACGTAGAGTCTGCCACCTCAGAGAAAGCCCTACTCTCAGCATCTGATAATGTTGCTTTCAGAACATTGTGATCTTTGTTTAAAGGTCACCTATTAGCAGAATCCACTTTTTCATGTAGTTTGTACATAAACATGTGTCTCCTCTGTGTAAAGAGATTCTGAAAGTTTCAGGAAAAAAGATTCTCTCTCTTTTTGTCCTGATCCATTTATATAAAAACCTGTCTGAAAATTAGCTGATCAGATTTTGGCCATTTTATGATGTCATAACGATTTTTTGGCTTGTGTAATCATTAGCCAATAACCAACCAGGTAACGCCTAACAATTACAATAACATGTGAAAAAATTGCTTTGACCTCAGAGAGTTAAACTTGGGCCTGCGACCATAGTTTTACTGTATTTTGTTTTTGAAAATCCACAGCGGAGGTTTGTGTCGTACTACATGCAGTGTATTTTGCATTTCTCTCAGTAGCCAACGATCTGTGAGTCTGTTGGCTCGGACATAAACTCCGTAATAAATGTAGTCTACATTTCATAAGAGGTGTAAAACCTGAGTATTTTACATCGCATTTTAACTAAATGGTTATATTTGTATTGTTGATTCAATGTGTGAACGAGGCGATATAGAGAAGGTTAAGCTGTCATTATTAGGCTGTAATTTGTTATATACTGTGTTGGAGTGGTAAGCAGGCCTATTGTTTTGGGATATTTGTGGAGTTAGGTGGTCCGTGAGTGTTTTTTTATTGGTTAGTCTTGGTATGAAAAAGTTTGAGAAACACTGCGCTAGTGGATTATCAACGGGGGGAGCCTCGCTGCGGGGAAATTATACAGATGGCCAGTCCGCCCCTGAAAAATGTCTATGCACACGTTATTATTAATAATAATTAAAAAAAAATAGATTAAATTAAAAGAAATAATAATAATAATTAAATTTTTTTATTTTGTAATCATCTCGCGACCCCCACTCGGGGTCTCGCGACCCCCCGGGGGGATAAATGTAATGCTATTATAATACTTAATTTGATTTATTTATGAGATCAGCAGTAATCAATCCATGTGTTGTGAGTGTAGATTCATATAAAAAGCTGTCCTAACATGTCGGCTTCACCTAAATGACTGACTGCAGTTTCCTGTTGTTACTTGCTATAGTTTCAGGCAGGTGTGGCATACATTGAAATAAAGGACTATAACCTTAGAAATTAAGCCCTTAATCATGCAGCATTAGCCTAGTGTATTATTTAACTATAGTGTTCTTCTGCTTTGGCATCATATAATTTTGTTTAAATATAGGCTTCAGACATATCTTCCATTATTTGAAGAGCTGTTTGTTTCATGACAACCAAACAGAAGTATTCACTTTTACAATAACTTGAGGTAAATCTAGCGTGACTGCTTTGTATGAGGCACCTATTTGGGCTAAATGGACTACTGGTAAGAATGACAAACTCAAACAGTAGCTCATTTTGAAAAGCCCTGCCCAAAGTAAACATGGACTGGTTTTGAAAGAGTAATGGTTTTGCCTTTGTTAGATCAGTAGCCACCTTTGTAAACTGTACAATATAAAGGCTGCATGTTATTTTAAACTTCATTTCCCCATTAAAGGGTTGAATGTCTTGATCATGCAAAATCCCTTCCTTTACCACATGTTGACAGAGGTCATGAAATATTGTATGCTACGTAAAGATCTAACATGCATGTTAGAACTGGGCTGGTGAAGAGTAGCATGACACTGTAATTCATAACCAGCAGCATGAACAATGCTAACCAGCCAAGTTGTAGAAGCTCACTTTCTCATGCATCATGGATTTGATTTATTTTCACACCACTTATAGGGGCGCTAATTATATGATGTGCTACAGAAAAGCTCTATCTTTGATTGCCTGCACTAAACTACAAATGTGGATCTGATTAGACACTTGGATTCCCAGATGGAAATGTACGGAGATAACATTGAAAATATAGACACAAAGAGGAAAGGAAAGTTCTTACCCTGGGAAAGACAGAAGGGAAGGTTAGCCAAGGTAATCGATGGGACGGTTGGCTGGGGTGATGTCATGATTACAGCTTGATGTCTTCTGTAATTACAGGAAAACAACCAAGGATTACAGACTCTGTCTCTGAGGCAGAATAACACGTGTCTGACTTTAGCTGAGACTCATTCCTAAGACTTTTCAAGCAGACCAGTACTAATTACTCACCATCCCACTCTTCTTTTTTCAAGTGTTTTTAAGTGCTCAAGACGGCGCTTGCAGAAATGTGGAAAGCCGAATGCTTAGTATACTAGCAACTGACCATAATGAGCAATCAAAAAGGTTGATGATGGTTATACTGTCGTGAAAATAGCACTACAGTTTGCAGGTAAAATACATGGTATGAATTTCAGTTTTAGTGTGAACAGTCTGTCTCTCTGTCTGTATGTATGTTTTTATGTATGTTCTCTTTGACTTAGTAAAGCATCAGGGGTTGCTGAATTGGTTAACAGTGGGGAGAAACCTTCAGAACAGCAGGAGAGAGGACCGCTTTGATCTTGTATTCTCTATATTCTCTGTATCTCGTGTGAACTGGCCTCAGGGTCATTTGTATTTTAAACGGGTTTCTCCTGCAAATACAGAGCCAAGTTTATGAGCGAAAAACCATGTTTTCTTCACAGCTTTTATTACAAGACATAAACAAGGATTAGCACTACATATTAATCTGCCCATAAACGTTCTTATTGGACTGTGGGAAATGTCAAACAGTCATAGATGTAAAGACGTCTGTTCTTTAACTTGTGACTTTCTATATAGTTATGAGGAAGAATACGCAGTAACGTAGAATCTGGTCTTAAACTGAGAGGTATAAGGTGTAGTGCAGGTTTAATGGACGGAAGTGAGGATGAGTGGTGAATTAATTGGTATTGAGTTCAGGCCTGCCGCTCACTGGCACGCCTCCATCGGAGACACATCCACAAAGCAGGCGTGGATCAATGATTCAATGGCTACACCCATGGGATGTGATGGCTTGAGGGGCTTATTTCCTCATTGGCTTAGAATTCAAAGCAATACAAAATAAAATGCGACTGCGTTTGAACGAGGAAGGAAAGAACACATTTCTGTTTTGAATCACTGAATCATCAAAAGGAAATAAAGATAGCACCTTTGAGATGAACTACATTCATATTCAGGCTCAGACAGCACTGCAGAAATCAAACAATGTAAAAGTAATATTATGATAAATAAAAACTGGATACATTTACATAATAGGGCACCCCGCATCCCATAAGGGTAAAGTCAGTAGTCTGTAGTCTGTATTTAAAATAAAAATCAGGTGCCATCATAAGCAATTGATCACTTGTTGCTATAATCATGACTCGTGTTTATAAGTCAAGTGAAGTGGATATTTTTCGAAAAGAGTTACTCTTGACTTTTAAGTATGAAATGTGGTTTAATGTTGAGCTGTAGTGGGATAAAAGTAATACAAGAGGGTTAAATTACTTAACAATTGTGTGGCTACACTTAAATTGCCTCATATATTATGCAATATCATTTATATAGTCTCATATTCGTTTCAGATTCATTTAGGAGGGGATCTACTTTTATAAATATGGTGCCTAACATTAATATAAAAAGATTAGAGGTTAAGGAAATGAGGAATAAATACATAATACCTTTTTTGATGCACAATCCAAAATTTACTCAGAATATCTTTAAAAATGCAGCATAATAACCATATTTCTACATTTAAAAGCCTATTAGCAACTTACTTACAATTGCCCAATTACGAATTTTAAAAGTGGCATGTTACAAATGTTTTAACACCATCAAAATGTAATTTGGATATTGATTTGAATATACATTCATAAAAGCCGGGTGCAACAAAGAGAAATGTCAAACGCTTTCAAATCTAAGCAAATTATTATTTCAAGAGGAATGTACAGAAGATGCAAGCGCAGGCAAGCATATGAAATACTATTTAAACCATTACAGCAGCAGCATTTACACAGAATACATGCAGAGACAACATAGATATGAATCTACTTTTTAAGGCATTTGAGTGAAAACATGCACATGAATGAAAAACAATATATAAACCCACATCAGAAATACAGTGGTTAAAGTACAAAGGTTCATAGAGAAAAGATTCATCTGTGAGGATACACAGTGCTACTGTACGCATATTTGATTGTCTTGAGTAACAGGTAAGCTCTTACAGTGTAAAAATATAGGCTCAGTTTAGATGGCCCCTTGTCACATTCACCGTAAAAAAAACAAAAACATAAAGTCACTTTCAATACACGAAGAAACACTGACAGATGTAACTTATCATGCACAAGCAAACACAGATATCTGACTGGAGCATCAGGAAAGACATATATCTTTTAAAGTAATTTTTTTGGTTTAAATCATTGGAATTTGCTAGTTTAGTGAATATAAACCATGCTACAACAATAGTTTACAGTACATACACACAGCAGAGAGTCTTTTTGCAAAGATTCTATTTGAAGTAAAACCTTGTATTTATAACTCTACCTGTAATTCATCCTCTCAACATAACAGAAGATCTCAAGACAGAGAAAACATGACAGCAATCATAATCACAGCTGAAGGCTCATAAAATGCAATCTAATTATCCTGACAACCTCTCTCTGTTGGACTGCTGTACTAAAAATAAATCCCAAGAAGAACTGCAAGGCAAGTTTGTAGTGCATGGCAACCGAGTTCTTCACACCCCTTGGTAACCTGA